ATTGTTATTGCAAAATTATTTTTGCAATAAAATCTCTATTTATGCAACAACATTTTTTTGTCGCGATTTCGATTTTTTTTGTAGTGATCTGACGTTAGATCAACTAGTATACTCTTCACTTGTAGTATATGTTCAACAATCTATTCAAATTTGAATGGAAAAATTTTCAATTTCACTAAATTCGAAGTCTTCTTTGGCAATAAAATCTTGTTTCTTTTGTTTTTATTTGAATTTTTTTTTATTATGTCATTACTATATGCTTACAGAACTTTATAAATTTTTTTGTTGAAAAGTACTTGCAGACTGTACATATTTTGGTTACTACAGGAATATCTTGTGATGGAGAAAAGGAAGAGCAACCAACAACCATGAATGCATTTTGAGTTGATTTCTACGTTAAAAAGGTCTCAACTTGGGAAATCTTTTCAAGGGAAAACGAGTTGGAATTTACTTCTTTTCTTCATAGATGTCCCTGGCTTTCCTTCGTTGCTTGCTAGTCTAGTTTCCACTAGGATTAGAACGAAACAGTTTAAGATAAATGAGACAAAACATTTGGAGGTGAAGGTGATGATGATTGGTGATTGGTGGTGGATCGTGTTGTTAGTCTGCCGCGTGTGCAAATTTGTTTGTGGTGACCCTATGTGACCAAATATATATTTATTGTGATTGGTTGTGACCAATTCTTTGTTAATTGTGACCAGTTGTAACTTGATCACACATTGTCACAGTTAATATTAATTTGGTCACAAATAGTCACACCGATTACAAATTTAGTCACAATCAATCATACTGAAGACAGGTTAGGTCACAGATGACAGAGGTCGTGGACTTGATTACATACAATGAAAAATTAGATGGTCACTGACAGTCACATCAAAGATAAATTTGGTCACAAGTAGCCACTTATAACACAAGTATGGTCACAAACAATAAATCTGATCACAAATAACACAATCAGTCATAAATTTGGTCACATACAATGGACTACTGCACCACAAATTCTGGAGATTTTTCTACATTTGGTGTGGAGTGGCATAAATAGCATCACTTCAATGTCGTGTTTCATAGCCCCCAAACTTCTATAGTAGTTATTCTCTAACGGGGTATTATTATAAATGACCTGCTACTATTCATTTTTGATAAAATGTCTATTATACCCTTAATGAAATAATTTATCNAAAAAAATAAAAAAAAAATAAAAAAAAAAAAACCAGAAACAAAAATAAATAAATAAATATGAAATTTGAAAATTATATTTGTAAATTAAATTTTGAAATTATATTATCTAAATTCATTATCTACTTTAAATCCCAAAAAGCAAGAAGAAAGAAACAAACAAAGCCCAAACGTGGTAGAGAAGTTTTAAAATTCTCTCCCCTTCAAAAATCATTTTTATCCTCGCATTCTACAATACATCCATTCCGGGAGCTACAAGGAGGAAAAATAGAACTCGAATGAAGAATAAGAGAGATCGATGCTAAGGATGAAGTTGAAACCTACCCAAATGATTTCTTCACTGTCTTGAGCTTGCCTTTCCTTTTTCGAAAGGTAGAAGGAAGACCATCGACGTTGAAGTAAACCACACCATATAATTTTGAATGTAAACCTTTTTTTCTACTTGTTGACCATAAATTATTCAAAAAATTCATTTTTTACAAAATCTATTCTTAGAAAATCTACATCAAACAGACCTCGTAACATTAACCGAGTCTACTAACTCTACTAACACGTATCTATATAATTCTAATGAAAGTGCTCGCTAGTGAAAAGTCAAGAACGTAGTCTATAATTCAAGAATATTAAATCCTAAAGAACATGTCATAGCTGTTCATCTCACAACGCATATTCTCAACCCAATTAGCAGCTATGGAAGAAGGGATTAATTACTCATAATTGATCAAAATTAATATATTCTTGCTAATTAAAACTAATAATTTTTCAAAGAATAATCATAAGATCAAAGACAACCAAATTTCAAAGCATTAGGAGGAAGAAAACAAGCAGTAAAAGTTCAATGACAAATTGAGTATTTCCAAACAGAACAAGATCATAATCACATATAAAGCCCTTCTGGGACACCCTCTTTCTTCTTGAACATAACCTTGTCTTTGGCCTTCTTAAAATCTGCATGTGTCACCTAAACAAGCAAAACAATGCTGTCATTATCCACGAATAAGCCAAAGTCCAATTTATTCACACCATGGCATAATCAATAAACTCATTTCCTTTATATAAAAAAAATAAAAATAAATAAAAAGTCAAAACTATCAAACAAATAATGCAACTTTGTTTGAGTCAAGGCACACAATGACCATTAAACCATCATCTTAGATATGACATTGTCTAACTGCTAATCCAATTTCACATTTTAATCCCAACACTACTCAGCAAGTTACCTGTTTATTCTTCAATTAGCAACTTTTGAAAGTTTCTCCAAACAAGTGATTAGAAATTCAGATCCCGAACATTAGTATACTAACAAACCGTCGCATTCGGATGAGTTACTTTTCCAATTGTGCAATGATTTTTGTTTAAAAACAATTAAATCCTGACTGAGCCCACGCTCCGAAGTGATCAACTAAATAAACAAATAAAAGAGATTTGAAGGACATCTATTGGAAGTGAATCACTACGGTCGACTGTTTGGTAGATGGATATTATTTATGTAAAATCTAAAAGAACAAGGGTAAATTAGTAACAGATCCACCAGGGAAAAAAAAAAAAAAAAACCTGTAAGACGAAATTATTATTATACGAAAATATCTTTCTGGAAGAGGAAGAATATGAAAGGAGACAAAGTGAATTTCGAAAGCAAAATGTTTTTATCAATAAAAAGAAAAACTGGAATACCCAATATAATATTTTTACCTTTTATTTTACGAGAGAAAGAGTCTGTTTCTATTATAATTACTCTATGAGAACTAGAAATTCCATATGAGATGGGCTTATCATAAGTTCCACATAGCATGAGCTAGAAGAGAATCATTTTTCTAACCAATCATGCTTTCCCCCCATATTGATAAAAAGTATAGCTTTCATATTTTAATTAAAAAAGCATGCATGACACCTTCATACGGCGCTCTCTTAAAGCAAGCAATCCAGCTTCAGTACATATGGCTTTGATATCAGCACCAGAAAATTCATCTTTTGTCATAACAAATTCTTCTAGGTTGACATCATCAGCCAATGTCATCCTTGATGTGTGTATCTACATANCAGAAAATTCATCTTTTGTCATAACAAATTCTTCTAGGTTGACATCATCAGCCAATGTCATCCTTGATGTGTGTATCTACATATATTAAAGAAAAGGTCAGAAAATCATCGAAAATGTCACTGGTGATCTGATTTAATGAGATGCATGAAATGCATACCTGGAAAATACGCCTCCTAGTCTTAATGTCTGGAAGAGGGAATTCGATTTTTCTGTCTATTCTACCAGGTCGAAGCAGGGCAGGATCAAGACTTTCAATTTTATTTGTTGCAAGAATCACCTTAACATCTCCTCGTGAATCAAAACCATCCAACTGGTTCAGCAGTTCCAACATAGTTCTCTGAATTTCGCGTTCACCACCTGAATGGGCATCGTACCTGTAAAAAGCATTCGACAAATAAACACTTATCCATGAAAACAGATACTCCCATGACAATGGTGTTTGAGGGAGCACCTCTTTGTACCAATGGCATCAATTTCATCAATAAAGACAATCGATGGGGATAAGTCATCAGCAACTCTGAAAAGTTCTCTCACCAATTTGGGACCATCTCCCAGGTACTTCTGAATCAATTCACTTCCAACTACACGCAAGAAAGTTGCTGAAGTAGAGTTGGCCACTGCCTGAAGAACATTAAAGCAAAGTGCTTATAGACGAGAATACATGGCTACAGCTTGAAAAACACCAAAGCAAGAGGTTTATGCACCAGATCACTCATAACATAATACTTTTGCTTAAAATTTGAGATTACCAAACAATTTACTAAAGATGTATTACTCCTACAATGATTTTGGCAAACCCAAGGGAAGACTAAAGATGTCTGTCTCGTGTAATGACTCTATCAAACTTCAAACCCATGGGGAGCCATTTAAATAGTGTGCGGAATTAGATGAATCCCTATGTATGTCTGCCTCCTCTAGAGGAAGGCTCTGTAGACCACGTTTGTTTCGGCTTCGCAAATAAATTTCACAAATGAACGACTCCTGTTGTTTATAAGGAATCATAACATAGACCCAAACTTTAAATATTTACATACTCTGACAAGTTCAGGTGATAAGATATGCTCACCCTAATTATATACAAGCATCAATTTTAAGATTATTTTCAATTTGTCCAATTACAAGGAGTACAAGCTTTTCCCCTTATTTGTCCCTCTTTAATGCAATTAAAAATTCCAACTTTTTATGTAAACAAGAACAGAAATTAGAATAAAACTCAGACTGGCATAAAACGATTCAATTTTATCCCACGGGACATATCGAACTCATAAAAATGTGCTGAAACCACCAGGTAACAATACACAAACCTTAGCAAGCAATGTTTTCCCAGTTCCAGGCTCTCCATAGAGTATGACCCCCTTGGGAGGTTTAATACCAATGTCTTCATATAGTTCAGGATGAGTCAATGGTAGCTCCACTGCTTCTTTGATCTCCTGGATCTGGGAATCCAGCCCACCAATATCAGCATATGACTCCAATGGAGCCTTCTCAACCTTCATTACGGACACCATGGGGTCAACATCGTCTTGAAGAAGTCCGACAACAGAAAGAACCTGCAAGAAAGCAAATTTTCTGTGGGAGGTGTGCTTAAAAGCGCATCAATTAGAATTATGGGTAGCACCCCCGAAAACCCACCCCGACCTTGGAAGTATGCCACATCGGGCCAACAAAGGCATCTTTTCTCCACGGCTCTTTTTTTATAAAAACAAAGATGCAAGAAGATCCCAAGTTTCTTGAAGTTGAGAGAATTTACAGCTTATTCCTTGGACTTTATTGGCAACAGGTTGAAGAGCCACATAATTGTAGTTTACTCGCCAAGTTTATATCAATGACATTCAGAATTTTTATATATAGAACATGTATCAAATGATACTATTTCTTCCCTAACGGATTTAGGCTTCTAGAATGGTCATCAGCACAGCAAACTTCCTCAACCAAACATTAGAAATGAACAAAATCATAAACAGCAAACCCACAAAGACCATAAATCCAAGGTCCCCACCATCACCAACATCTAATTTCAACTTTCCCGTATCTATATTTTACTGAACTTTGTGCTGCAATGGAGAAACCTTTTGTAGGGTAGGTGGTGGGGCTAGTTGCAGTTTGTTATTTCCTTTTCTTGTTTCTTTTTTACTTTCCTTCTCACCAGTGGGAATTTTGTCGAATTGGAGCAATGATTATTGCTTTGTGAAGTGGAATGGTACGGGTTTTGACGTTAGTGTGTTTCCTTGACATGGATTTTCATCAAGGGATGATTGCAGTTGCAGGTTTACGGGTGTTAAATAGTAGTGATGAAATCGTCAGCTTAGTATCCATTATTTACATTTTGTAGCAACAATGGGTAAATTTGGAGATAAAGAGTTATGCCGTTTAATGGGCGACGAGACAGTAATGTTTAATCGTGGTGAAAATCAGTATCCCAGTCCTCTCTCATCAACCTTGTCAAATGTTGATGCTCACCCAACGCATTTCCCCCAAATTTTAGAAATATCATCAGCCAAATATCCCGAGCGCTAATTCCTCAAACCCTAGCTCCACAATTCCAAAACCATAAATTCACAAAACACCAACAAATAAAGATTACCTTATTGTGCATAAGAATCGCACAGCCCGGCTCGAGCTGATCCTTATCAACAAACGATAAGATCCCGACATAGTACTCCGGACCCACAGACGACGAAACGATGGCATGATTCTCATCAATCAACTCCTCCAAGTTCCCCACACTCATGGGAGACCCACGCAAGTCATCGACCTTCGATCGGTCCTCTTCCGTCTTCTCCTCCTGGGGCTTCAACCGCTCCTGATTCGCCACGAACTCTTCTTCCATCAACAAGTAGTCCTTGATTCGCTCGAGCTTAAGAAGTCGCAGCTTGCACTTGCTCAGCGGAGTTACCGTCGGCACCCTGGCAGACGCCTCGGGTCCCTTCTGCTTCCGCTGCTTTCGGCCAACGCGAGCCGGCGGCGCCGGGGGCTCGAATTTCTTCTCCTTCTTGTCGCCGTCATTTTTCCGGTCTCCGGGGAGTTGCCGGTTCAAACCTCCGGGGGTGCCCTGTCCCATTGTCGTAACTGAGAAATCAAAACCTTGAGATTTGGCTTTTGGTGAATATTTGAGAGAGATGTCTTTCTAGTCAAGAAAGCAAAGCCATTCAGGGCACGTGACTTCCACGCTCTCCCCCAAATTTACCCCCAAAAATATATTTACCATTGGACCGTGCTACACGTATATAATGATTTCCTAACCGTTTACGCTCTATTCACATTATCAAGGTGGGGACCACGGCTCGACATTATTAAATATACGTGGGGCCCACGTATTTGTGAGAGGGGGTAAACGCTTCTGTATACTTCCTCGGTACAAAAAGAATAATCCTTTACCATTTCACCTTTACATTTTCTAATGATACTCTCTCTCTCTCTCTCTCCGCCCCTTCTTTGAAATCTTTAAAACTCATTTTTTTACTTTTAATTTAAATAAAAATGTTTTAGACCACCAATTTGTGTTATAAAATTAATTACTGTTTATATAAACTTTAGTACATAAATTTGTATTATCGAGTTATCTTTTGTTAATTAAAAAAGTGATTTTCGTTGTAAATGACCCTTATAATCACTCACTAAATAATTAATTTATACATAATCTAAATTTTACATTATTTAAGGGATACATGATTACATTGCAAAGTGTTAATGGATAAAAATTAAATGTGTACAATAAATTAAAATACCAATTTATTTAAATATCAAGGTTTTTTTAATGAAAATATTTCTCATTAAAAGTGAAGAACGATGATTTTCGTGCAACTCCGCTTAGGAAACGTGTTGAATAAATAAATACCAAATTTTAGCTCAATTTTGAGAAATGGTATATACTCCAATCTTGAGTTGAATTTTTCACACAAGTTCATTAAAATGCTACGTAGTATCATTAGTTTCACAGGTGTATTGCACCAATTTAGATGACGGTGGATTCTACACTAATAGCAAAAACGTATGGAGATCACGAGGATGATATAAGAGAATAAATGAAAGATTGCGAACAGGAGAATGGATAAAAAAGGATGAGGATGAAATTGCCACAAATGGAAAAAGATTGGGGACTCACAGTGAGATTTACCAAAAATCTTTAATTATTTTCTCGCTACAAATTGCTTTAAAAAATGCATTAAAAATTTGAACATGGGAGAATGAGGGGAGCAGATGATTTCATTATAGCACAAAAGTATACATACCATGTTAGTTTTCACACACCACTTTTCTCCTTTGTTCTCCAAGCCACAGAAATCGACATATAAACTACGTATGCAAAACGCAAAATAAACACACCCTTCACTTGCATATTTCACACAATATACAAAGAAATAATGACCAAAAAAATATCATTTCCGCTGCACCAAACAATAGATATGAATGCTGATCACAGGGTAGCATCGATAGGGGTACTGTTCCTCGCCTGTGATATCCTATTTGCATATATGGTCACCAACCGTAGTTGAGTAGCATTTAGCCCTTCCAAATATGGCAAAAATGCTTTCCCAAGCTTGATATAGGTGTCAACTAGACAGAAAACAACAGTCTGCCAACAAGGGAAAATTCATATCAAATTCAAAATCGAACCTAAAACCCAAACAGGAGTAGAATTTTAAGTGTAAGTTCTTAATTACAATTATTCATTGTTAAACCAATTTAAATCACCTTGCATGAGTTCCTTGGACTCAAATATGGAAAGTGCTTATCAACAGTTGGTGTCCAAGCTACATTTCATGAAACAACTGCGGTTTTGTTCCTAAGTTGATTTCTAGACTTCTAGTTGAAATTTCTACAAAAAACATTTACCTTGCGAACATCTGCACTCTGGTTACCGAAAGCATCAAAAAGAGCAGGCAGAAATGAAGGTAGTTGAGCCACCAGTTCCTCTTGGGAGAGCCTACTGACAATCTGTACAAGAAACGCAGTAGCATGAATATCCTTACATCATTAAAGTGAGCAAAACAGTTTTTGGGTAAAAATAAATAAATAAATAAACCTTTCCATCTCCGAAGCAAATAAATTTAGGAGGATCTACCTTTGTCAAACAGTTAATACAAATGATAAGAGTTCTGCCATCTTCAGTAACCAGCAAAGGAACAATGACCTGAAATGTCAAATACTTGATCAAGCAAAAGCAGAGAACACCAAATATGATTAAGGGATTTTGACAATTCTTAGTAGTACTTACACTTAAACATCTAAATGGGTCGTATTCAGACAACATTATAGATAAGCAGGGCTCTAGTTCATTTGAAACCTAAATTAAATAGTCAACAGGGGTAAGGCTTCGGAAAAAAACATTAAATGGAAACTCAGGAGTTTCTGAAAGAAAATTTTTACATCTGAAACGCTATCCTTTGTCACGTGGAGAAGTTTTTCAATTACAATCTCAAAAGAATCCTCCATAGCATCTTTCTACAATAAAGTACAGAAAATTTAATAAAGATGATGCTAAAAAGTACAGAAAATTAATAAAGATGGAACAAAGGGAAAGGGCTAATGGGGGGAAGAAATACAAGTATCAGTGATTGAGGCTGGAACAGCAAGAGGAAATGGAGGATCACGAGATGATGGTTGGTCAACTCCTGCACTAGGAGCAATAAAACAAAAAGTTAGCCATTCACAAAAGATTCAAGATGTTATCAATCAGGCTCATTGGTGGCAATATTTCACAATTGTAACAACCAATTACTCAAAAAATAGAGAAAATGAAACTGTGTTGAGAGAGGGAAAAGATAAGTTGAGACTAGAGAAAGTATTAGAAAAGGACATTAACTACCTAGGTCCAAACTTGAGGATCGGCTTTTCTCAGATATATCCAAACCTCTCAGCATACTTTCTATAGCAGTGACCTTCTGTTTGCTTGCATGCAGCACACTTTCCAGGCTATGATCAGTGCCTTTACCTGCAGACTTTGCTTGTGAAAGAAGTGCTCCAGAGGAAATAGATACCCCTGAGGGAACACTTGCACTTCTATCCATTGCAACTATAGCAGAAGTCCCATAACCGGAAATGTTTGAAGGTGCAGGTGTTTGAGACCTAAATGACTTGTGTGAACTCCTTTCACGACGAGAAGGAGAAGCATGCCTTTGAAGAATACCTCCATTCTCATCATTTATTACCTATACAAATATTCCGTCTTTAGTCCACAACTTCAACAGTTAGTAGAAAGGTGTAAGGTAGAGGTTCAATTAGATAAATACTTACTCTTTGAACAACGGGATCAAAGGACATAAACAAACGCCGAGAACGCTCAGGCCAGGTTTTTGTAAACATTCTATAACACATCCTTGCAGTAGATCGGACCTGTAGGTTTCAGTAATGCAATTGAAACCAAAGAAAGGGAAAGGTTTAAAGCCCAAACATTCATTCCACCAAAAATAATTGATAAGGAAAAGGCATATCATCCACCAGCTTCAAGAAACAGAGACACTTCATGATTCACAATATATACCTCACTAATTGCATCTTTCACACAATATCTGATAAGGTCTTCATAGAGATCAGCTGAGCGCTGAATTTCAGGTGCATCAGTCCAGTATTCAAGAATCAGAAGTGCATATTCACAACACCTGATCGGGGAAAATAAAAATATAAGAGATACTTCAAATTTTATTTGATGTAGAGCCAGTCTTTTATCGAAGTACTAAAGCAGAGTCATACCTTGAGCGAAGTACTGCACTTCGGTCATTCTTCGAACAGTCAACTATGCGAGGAAGCAAGCGGGGAACTTTGCAATTGCGTAACATCTGGAAAAAAAAAAAAAAAGGCTTGTTTGGAAAGTATTTATAAATAGGTTATTTTTTATAAATGGATTTAACTAAGTAGTGGATAATTGGTTAATACTTGTGGGTCCCACAAATTGTGGATAAAAATTGGGTTGACCCCCTTTTTTGACCATTTATAATTGTCAAACATATGCTAAAACAAAATACTCACATAAAGGTATACAAAATATAGAAACGGAACAAGCTAACTGAATAAGGCATACAGCAATAAAGATCTGCAAGAGTAGAAAGTGCTGCTTGTGCAACTTTATGATGGGGATCATCCAAATGCTGGAAAAACAACTTCATGACCTTCTCAAAACTCTGCACAATTTCTTGAATACCTCTTGGGCCTTTCTGCAGAAGGGACCGAATATAACTAAATGCCAAAACTCGAGCACTCCAATCTGAACCAGAACTAAGCCCCTCGCTGAATGCATCATTAAGAGAAGCTGGACCATTCGAATAACTCGATATATCTACGAGAGCAACCTGAGTATCATCAAAGCTACTCCTGTGTGGGGACATTCGCACAGCAGCATTTTTTCTTAGAAGAGGTCGTTGAAAATTTGGCATGTAATTATTCTGGGAATCCCTATGGTTAAAATCTTTGTAAGGAGCGTCCAAATATGGCGCATCAACATGAGAGTTCTTATATTTCCTTGCCTCCCTAACATCGGCTTTTTCTTCAACCAAACCTTTTTCTTGTAGCTTCTCAGAAGCTCTCTTGGCTGAATAGGAAGAAGGTGCCAATAGAGGTTCATTTCCCACACTACTGTGGTAAGATAATTTATCTGAATCTTTAAAAGCTTGAATCTGAGTGATGATATCAGATAAAATCAAGCCTCCATTGCTATTATTACCTTTAGACCGAGCAGACGTCGCATCTACCACAAAAGAATTCGTACGACCATTCGAGGCTGGAACAGCAAGAGGAAATGGAGGATCACGAGATGATGGTTGGTCAACTCCTGCACTAGGAGCAATAAAACAAAAAGTAAGCCATTCACAAAAGATTCAAGATGTTATCAATCAGGCTCATTGGTGGCAATATTTCACAATTGTAACAACCAATTACTCAAAAAATAGAGAAAATGAAACTGTATTGAGAGAGGGAAAAGATAAGTTGAGACTAGAGAAAGTATTAGAAAAGGACATTAACTACCTAGGTCCAAACTTGAGGATCGGCTTTTCTCAGATATATCCAAACCTCTCAGCATACTTTCTATAGCAGTGACCTTCTGTTTGCTTGCATGCAGCACACTTTCCAGGCTATGATCAGTGCCTTTACCTGCAGACTTTGCTTGTGAAAGAAGTGCTCCAGAGGAAATAGATACCCCTGAGGGAACACTTGCACTTCTATCCATTGCAACTATAGCAGAAGTCCCATAACCGGAAATGTTTGAAGGTGCAGGTGTTTGAGACCTAAATGACTTGTGTGAACTCCTTTCACGACGAGAAGGAGAAGCATGCCTTTGAAGAATACCTCCATTCTCATCATTTATTACCTACACAAATATTCCGTCTTTAGTCCACAACTTCAACAGTTAGTAGAAAGGTGTAAGGTAGAGGTTCAATTAGATAAATACTTACTCTTTGAACAACGGGATCAAAGGACATAAACAAACGCCGAGAACGCTCAGGCCAGGTTTTTGTAAACATTCTATAACACATCCTTGCAGTAGATCGGACCTGTAGGTTTCAGTAATGCAATTGAAACCAAAGAAAGGGAAAGGTTTAAAGCCCAAACATTCATTCCACCAAAAATAATTGATAAGGAAAAGGCATATCATCCACCAGCTTCAAGAAACAGAGACACTTCATGATTCACAATATATACCTCACTAATTGCATCTTTCACACAATATCTGATAAGGTCTTCATAGAGATCAGCTGAGCGCTGAATTTCAGGTGCATCAGTCCAGTATTCAAGAATCAGAAGTGCATATTCACAACACCTGATCGGGGAAAATAAAAATATAAGAGATACTTCAAATTTTATTTGATGTAGAGCCAGTCTTTTATCGAAGTACTAAAGCAGAGTCATACCTTGAGCGAAGTACTGCACTTCGGTCATTCTTCGAACAGTCAACTATGCGAGGAAGCAAGCGGGGAACTTTGCAATTGCGTAACATCTGGAAAAAAAAAAAAAAGGCTTGTTTGGAAAGTATTTATAAATAGGTTATTTTTTATAAATGGATTTAACTAAGTAGTGGATAATTGGTTAATACTTGTGGGTCCCACAAATTGTGGATAAAAATTGGGTTGACCCCCTTTTTTGACCATTTATAATTGTCAAACATATGCTAAAACAAAATACTCACATAAAGGTATACAAAATATAGAAACGGAACAAGCTAACTGAATAAGGCATACAGCAATACCATTTTTATGCAGTTATCTGCAGATTCCGCAATTACAAGTACTGTTATCACAACAAGCTTGAAAAGGACCTAAATGTCAGAATAAAGGGTGAGAAACATGCATAATCATAAAACACTATAGTAACTTAATACAGAGATTGTTATTACCGGAATAAACATCTCAGCACATGACTCAAAGTCACCCAAGAGCTCTTTTGATAGAAAGCATAACAAATGACATGCCTAACAAAACGGAGAAGGAAGAAAATACAAGAGTTCAGATGGGAGAAAGCAACAAAATTTATAAAATTAAACAAAGGAACATTCTATTCAAACTCGGAATTAGTTGATATAAAATCTAAATCAAAAACTTCAGCATGATTAAACAGCAAATACAGAAATCAATTCTCCCTAGCACTTATATGTTAAAACTAAGTGTAGTTAGATAGTCCATGAAGAGAAACCTCTAGGAAGTTAATGAACAGAAGAATATATGAACGGGCATGAACTCTTTGGTAAATATATGTTCTCAGAAGTAAACAAGTGCAACTAAAGATATTTGGATAGAACTGTTAACAAAGAAAGCATATTTTATGAAAATAACTTCATATTCCTCTTGCTTATGTAATGTAAGAGGTATGAAACTAGATTATGAGGAAGGGCAGAAAGAAGCTGTAGTCATGTGGTCAACTTATGTTATTATGCACCTGCTTCACTATGCTTGATCTCCGATCAGACAGTTGGGTGTTCAAAGGACCAACAAGTTGCTTAAGAAGTCCACGGAAACAGGGGTAATCAGCTGCACCTGATAAAATGGAACTCAAATTAAATACATATGTACAGCCTAACCACAAAAATAATGTCATAAATGTGGACTATAATTTACCGTAGCATCAGGTGCTCCATGTCTTTCCTCAACCAACATAAAACATCAAACAATCTTAGATTATTCAAAATCTTGCTCATGTTCAATGACTTAAAACACATTCCATATTTAGGCTCTCAAAAGGCCCATTTAATAAGAAAATAAACACTGAAAATCACTTCAGTTGCTCACCCTCATTATCATACTTCTCCAGAAACTGAAGACAACATAAAACCACAACTTTTGAGCAACAAAGCAATAAATCTTTAGAGCAAATCTTATGCTAGATTTGAATGTAACTCAATCTATTGTCTGAACTTTTCTGTTTGTATATGATTGGGGTTTTAAACTAAATGCATCCTTTGTTCTCGCTTTGCTTTAATAACCATCTGTATAGGAACACATCTCAATGATGAAATACAGTTAGTTATAACACCACACAGTAAGAAAAAGACATAAAACAAAACACCGAAGCATTTAAAATATACAATTTGAAAGTGGAAACAGAGGCTCTTAATTGTGCAAGGAGTGGTTAACAAACCTCCAATAACAAGGCCTTCAATCCTCTGCATGGCTGCAATACGCATAGACCAATCTTTATCGGGTACAAGGGTGGAAGCAATTTTTTCAAACTCCTTCATAAGCTCCTTTTCTGAATATACTTTAATTGGTTCAACAGGTTTCTCTGTGACATCACCATCTGCTAATCATAAATGAACAAAAGAAGTCAGCAAAGAGTCTGATGCTAAAAGTGTATGTTTTGATTCCTCAATGAGCTCAAAACAGAAATAGATTTGCTTTACTGCATATCCATAAATAATCGATCTCACCCTTACTGGATGATTTTAGAACATGCTATAAAGCTCACTACTCATTTAATGCAGTACAAAGATGTACAAAACAGACAGAAATTTCAGGACGGTTAAATGACTAAGGGAGTAACTACTATAGATATATAAACAAATTACAAAGATTTCTGTGGCCTCCAGCACAGGTACTAACCTCCAAAGGGAGATGCCTCACGAGTTGAGCTTTTGGCCTTAGGACTGCTCTTTTTTGGATTAAGGCTTGTAGGCTTATTCTCGCTGGCAGAGTAATTGCTCAGAATCATATCTGAAGAGCGAATGTTAGGCTCAATTTTCTCTAATCTGGCATTAATATCTTTTAACTGCATTCAGTCATCACATAACAAAAATAGTTAACTCAGCCATAGTTAAGTTCTTGCTATACTACATACCAACTGGATCGGTAAAACTAGAATAACAACTCAAAAACTTAATGTAACAAGTGAATCATCCTTAGCCACATTCTATTACCATTGGAGTAGGAAGATGATGTCTCTGCAATTCATCTTGGAATTGAGGCCCAGCCTGCGTATACATCTCCTGGGGAAAAAAGAGACAATGTAAGAACTTATTATCAGGCAAATACAAGGACAGCAGTTCTAGACTAGTTGATAATATGCCACATATTCAATAAGGAAATATAAAATTTCTCCCGTTGCCACTTATATAAAGATGCTAGAGAAACATAAACTTTACCAAAGTTTTGCAAAATAAAAAGTTTTGCAAAATGAGAAGTCCAAAAATCATATCTTACAACCTATCAAAACACAAATACTTCAAAACTATGTCACGCTTAAAATGTTAGATTCTTAAAGTCTACAGACTCCTACACTCAGATGCTTTGAATAGGTCAGTGTTTACAAGAAGTTTTAACAAGTAAATGAAGAAAATGTTTATTCAAGCTGCCAGCCAGTTCCAAACCCGCGCAGTGCCCCTGGACTTGTGAGTTCACATCAGTCGACCAAATCTGAATGACTAGCATTATAGAACATTTTGCTTAAAGCACCTTATCCCATTCAAAGACAGACAAATTAAGCACAGTCAAACTTGGCATTTAAGGCTAAACTATCTGCTATTCCATTTTACTTGTTATTGAAGCCTCCCAGAAAGTGATCTTCCCTTCTTCAATTTCAAAACTTCTTCCGTCCATTACTACCGTACTATCCCATATTTCGTAAAAGCAGAGGCTTCAGTTCTATCCCCCGCACCATCACTCCTCGTACACAGTAATAAAAATCTATTAAGAAGGTGGCAACAAACGTAGGTTATAAAATAATTAAGCATTTTTAAATAATCATACAAATTGTTTAATAGATGTCATTACAAAAAGGCTGTATAGAACTCGAAGTTAATATTTGTAGGTTTATATTGTTCTTGATATTACAAGCGTGTAGCCTTGATTTCACTAATAATCACCGTCAATCCGACAAACAAAATATTGTGACCAATTTAGACAGGGTCTCCAACGCCAAAATGCACAGATGACAAACAATAAAAAAGAATATTCATAAAAGAAAATGAGTTGTATAATGACCAAAAAAAAAAAACTTCTACCACCACTTTTTTACTTAGGGCTGTTTCATAAACTATATACAGAAAATAAATATGCAGTAGTAACCTCGATACATGATATAGCAGCTTCCCTCACACCAGGATTTGGGTCGTTCAACATCTGTAAAATCTGATATCCAAGAAGACAACAAGTAAGGTTCTGAATCTTGTTTACTCTTCAATTCAAACATAATGCATTTTACACATTCTGTAAAAACTAGGCAACCAACACACAGGTGGAAGAATAGCTCGCTGAAGAGGTAGTTCAGTGGATGCAAATAGGCCAATCGCTGAAGTGACAGTACGTGCAAACTCTTCTCGAACTCTCCAGCTTTTGTGTGTCCAAGCATATGATCCTGCTCTTTCAACAATGATTGTTGATGAAGAAACCTGTATCAAAATTAGTTAATATTTATTGATAAAGATATTGCATTATTGCTACATCTGCTCATGAATCGGCAAAAAATAAAAATTAAAACATCCAATTCCAGGAGTAAGATCCTACTGCTTCGTAAATTTAAAAGAATATTGAGTGTAGAACGGTGCACACTGGAGAAGGATTTTAAGAATGACAAGACACAAGAGCAATGACCTGTGTATAACAACAGCAAAGTCAACCTCAATATCAACAGATCCTAAGTTAGTGACATGCTAGCAGGCACACTAGACTTTGTTCATAATTCAACAGGGAAAAATTCTACATCTGGTTGTTGGGGCAGACGAGGCAGAATATGAAAGGAATATGTACCTAAATTTATACAAACTATTTATCTAAGGCCATGTTTGATTGGACACATTTTTCATGGAAAATGGAAAACATTTTCCATTTTCCACCAAAATGTTGTGTTTGATTGCTAAATTTTCTAGGGAATTCGATTTCCACATTTTCTCCCACACATGTGCCTTTTCCTTGAAAGGGTGGAAAACCGAATTCCCACCATCGGTTTTCCAGTTTTCCTTTTTTCTTTTTCTTTTTCTTTTTTTTTTAAATTTTCAGCAATGGAAACAAAATCTATCAACAATTGTAAAAAAAATTATCTATTTAAATGACAATTTTCATGAAAAAAAGACCAAATAAACACCAAAAGATTCAAAATTTCAAAATTTTCCACGTGAAAAATTATACCAATCAAAAACAATAATTTACAATTCCCAGGAAAATAATTTTTAGTCAATTAAATTCCCTTAAATTCGTTTTCAATTCAATTTAATTCCATTTTTGCAATCAAATGGACCCTAAATTTGAATCCTATATCATCACTACTGAAAACTTGTGTGACTTCAGCACTGCTGCTGCTAATTTCAGAACAAAATCTTTACTTCAAAGTAATTGCTTAGAACATTTAAGGTCATACAAAATCATTATCCTCATTCAACTTACCATCGCGGAAAAGAAACGGCTACTCTGCCATTACAACTACTGCTAATTTCATAACAAGTTCTTTTAAATTTTATTGAAAACAAACTCAATTATTTCATAGAACAATTAAACTAATATAGAATCACTATCTCACCCAACTTGCCTTCGTAAATAAGAAAAATGCTACGCTGAACAAGATTAATGACCTCATTTCTTTTTTTGGTTTGTCCTTCCTGAGCTAATTTTCTTTTCGAAAGAAATCCACCCTTACCCGACATGAAGATTCTAGGCCACTAATATTGACAGGAAAAAAGGAATTTATCTCGCTCATCTTTTCAATTCTCACCTTGAAGCTTATAAATCTACCCCATCAGATAGAATTCAACCGTAAAATAACACAAAAAAAAAAGCAAAATCATTTCGATAAAAACAAAGAACTCAATGGATAAAATAAGCTCAAAAAATTGCGCAATTGTACACTACCTCCATGAGAGTGAGCAAAAGCTGCCTGGCAGCATCCCTAACGGGCTGTTTGGCATCCCCTAACCTCTCAACCACGGCCGGTACCAACCCATTAAAGTGGAGCTTGAAGTGCTCACCGGACAACACAGCTGCAGAGGCGAGTGCCTGCAGCGCACCCTGCGATACGCGAAAGTTGTTGTCCTTCAAGAGATCCAAGCACATGTCGACGAGTGACGTCACCTCAGATGACGTCAAACTCTTCCGCGAAGCTTCCAGGAGTTGGTGCAGCCTTTCCACTCCCGCCATTCTCTCCTTGGTGTCCTTCGTACGCGTCAACTCCAATGCCTCCTCCATGGCGGCTGTGTCCGATCCTTTGCGGTGCGGATCAGATCTCTATAGCTGTCTCTAGTAGAAAGTATGCAGTTAAAAGTGTGAATGAATGTACGTGTATATATATAGAGAGGATCGAGCGAGATTGGTTGAGTGAGTTTTGCTATAATGACAGGGAAGATGAAAAAATTTGGAGTAAAATGTTTGATTACTCGCCCAATTTATACCATATTATCAGCTTAATATCTGTCTAGATTGTGCATATGAGGATAAGAATTGATGTTTTAATCGTTAGATAAAAAAGTATGTCTCGTGAGTGAAGAAGTTAAATATGATGTCTAAAATTGTAAAATGACCTAAAAAAGAAAAAATTGGTGAAAAATTATTACCAAACGAGGGTTATATACTGTAATTTTTTTTTTTTTTTTCTAAAGTGGATGTTGGAATTAGGTTAACCTGAATTATACTGAACTTGAGTTTTGGCAATAATGATTGATAAATGCCCTCCAACAACAACAACATGGATTATAAGTTTTACCAAAATTATTAAAATGAAGTTTAGGATGAAGGGTCAATCAATGAATCATATTATGTTTGTTAAACTAGTTTTGGATGGGAATTAGCATTATGACAAATTAGAGACAAAGCCAAGCCACCAAACCCTTTACTCTAGATAAGAATAAACAAAGTTGGCACTTTTCATTTTATTTTCTATCATTTTAGGCATCATTAAGCACTAAGAAATTTATTTGTGCTATAAGCACGGCAAAATTGTGAGTAGTTAAACGTCTCCTTATGTAATCGAAAAGGGTCAAATTCTTGACAACATACATAATTATATGTTATTCAATTCAACTATTTCGACTCTATAAAAAATTGTATATAAATTGTAAATTTGTAAAATAGTTTGTGGGTCTTACTTGAAAAGTTATTTTTCTAGCTTCATCAATTCGTAACATGCTCTTCGACATTTTTGAATCATTATACAAGCAATTTTGTGCATGTAATAGACCTTTGCATCTATTACATCCTATAACTAACACAAAAACTCCATTCAGCTCAATTTTGAAAAATACACGAACTCCAATTTTCCCACTATAATGTATATTTGGTGTCATTATTCTTCGACTTGATTCAATTATCTTATCAAATAGCATAGAAACCTAGGAATCCTTAATAGTTGTATCAACTAACTTCAAGTTGCGTAAATCACACAACACTCATTCACCATAAAAAAGGCAATGGTCATCTCTTTAACAAACCAACCATTCCTATGATTAGGTTGAAAAGAGAACAGACTATCCAACTACAAAATGAAATCTACAATATAAATTGAAGACCAAGCCAAGCAGGAAAATGTTTTCCTTAAAAACAAGGAAAATTAGACATATTTTTAAAAGTTGAAAAATGTTTTCCATGGAAAAAAATAGCAATCAAACACCCCAAGTAGGAATTTGGATGGAAAACTGATATTTTTCATGGAAAATAAATGTAATAAAACACACCTTTAACAAAAATAAAATATTTTTGTTATTCTATTTGATTCATCAATACATTTATTCGAAGATTCAGTATAAAATTTAACAATCAAAGAAAATGTTTTCCTTAAAAATAAGGAAAATTAGACATATTTTTAAAAGTTGAAAAATGTTTTCCATGGAAAAAAAATAGCAATCAAACACCCCAAGTAGGAATTTGGATAGAAAACTGATATTTTTCATGGAAAATAAATGTAATCAAACACACCCTTAACAAAAATAAAATATTTTTGTTATTCTATTTGATTCATCAATACATTTATTCGAAGATTCAGTATAAAATTTAACAATCACAAAATGCTTTGTTAACGTTAGTTTACTCCGTCTTCTAACCCGTGGTATTGAGATTGTATCAATATCACGAGGTACAACTTCCACATGTAATGTGTACCTACAAATTTGTTTTCAGTCACCTTTGTAAATTGTAAATTTTTATCTACTTTTAAATGAAATTGCATATTTTGTTCAAATGTTTCATCTCGGCAAAAATGTTTAGTGAATTTCGAGTTAAATGTTTTGTTAGCCACTGAACTTTGCACCATGTCACGACTTACTCACCGAACTTACAAAATTGTCTCGCTGGCCACCAAACTTCACTCTATCCAACTCCATTACGCACCGGCTAAAATCTGTTAGCAAACGAATGACGTGGCAGACGGAAAATCCATTTGGCCAGTTAAATCCTTCCAACTAGTTGTAAGTTATCCAAATCAGCATCCACGACGATGAGGAAAATAATTTTGAACCCTTACCTAAACGACTTCAGAATCTGAAAACCCATTTTACTTCCATCCCAAAATGCGACGTACAACTTCCACATGTAATGTGTACCTACAAATTTGTTTTCAGTCACCTTTGTAAATTGTAAATTTTTATCTACTTTTAAATGAAATTGCATATTTTGTTCAAATGTTTCATCTAGGCAAAAATGTTTAGTGAATTTCGAGTTAAATGTTTTGTTAGCCACTGAACTTTGCACCATGTCACGACTTACTCACCGAACTTACAAAATTATCTCGCTGGCCGCCAAACTTCACTCTATCCAACTCCATTACGCACCGGCTAAAATCTGTTAGCAAACGAATGACGTGGCAGACGGAAAATCCATTTGGCCAGTTAAATCCTTCCAACTAGTTGTAAGTTATCCAAATCAGCGTCCACGACGATGAGGAAAATAATTTTGAACCCTTACCTAAACGACTTCAGAATCTGAAAACCCATTTTACTTCCATCCCAAAATCAAATCAACTCTAGAGCCCTAATTCACCGTACCTAATTGGAACGCACGACGTGTTGTGAAGGTAAAAATTTCATTTTTCTTGTTACCCATTTGAGCTTGAGTGACGAACAGACAGTGCGAGGGGGGATAGTGGCGCGAGGAAAGATTTTATTATTCCTTCTACCATTTTCACCGTATTTCATTGTTTGCCCATTTCCATTTATTTGTTGTTTACAAATGAAAATCGAGATGAACATGAATTTATTGATTTTGTTATGGTATTCACTTCATAAAGCCTCTGCATCTCTTGATTTTGTTATAGTATTATCTTCAACTGATTTGTAATGTTCTAAAAATAGAAAAATATATCCTGTAAACATGTTCTACATAATTCTGTAAGGGGTGGATTTGTTATACTGTTCATTGAGGCAATGCAAGTAGATAATGTTCGTGGGCAGTTTATTTTATATTTTATTATTCTAATAATGCTTCGAAGATGCTTGATTTTGTGGAGATTGCAGTGAGTTCGTTTAATTTTCTCATTTATGTTAGTTTTGTCCTCATTTGGTTTGAAATGGGAGGAAGGAACAAAGGGACATGTCATGGTTACCGGAAGGCGGGCCACTACTTGTTGGATTATCCGACGAAAAAAGCGTATCCAGTATGCGGCAAAGGAATTCAGAACTATATGGAAGTCGAAAGGAGGACTGAAAACTTCGGACGGCTATTAACAATCGCAATTATTTCAAGTGGCTTGATGCGGACGAACGTTGTCAATATAAGGGTCAATCAAGTGCCACATCGGAAATTAATGAGTTGTCGGGTTTATTGACGCATGTTGCTAAAATAAACGAAGAAAAAGACATGGATATCTCAGTCAAATTTACTTTTCACAAGGGAAAGGGAGAGACAGATATTGAGAAGCAAAATGGAGAAGCTTTGTGAAATGGAACCAATTATGATAGTCTCAAGTTTGTGTAGTTCACTGATTTAATAATATATTTGTAGACGTCGAACTTATAGTTGTAGATCAATCCCGATAATTTGAAATTCACGCTTATAATTTTAATGTTTCTATGTCACAACATTTATGGCAATTTTGTCATTTGTGGACCAATTTCATTCTCAAAATGGTTCTATCTTCTTTTCCCTCAATTGACACTTGTGCTGTGTTCTTATAGTGGTTTCAATTCTGTTTTGGTTGTAGTTGACATTTTCATTGTTCCAGTTAAACTGTAAAGGTGGTTTTGATCCATTGATTACAAAATCAGTAGCTGCTGGAATATTTATTTTGTATATACAAAATCAAATTCTGAAAGTAGAAGAGAAAATATTATCTCATTGGAAGACTATCATACACAAATCAGGACTTCCTTTGTATATACAAATCAGATTTAGCACGTAATTTTTTTCTATATAACCAATCAAAAACTACTTCCGGCCATTCAAGTAAATGACATATCAGATTTACCATGCTTCTTTTTGGAAAGGGGCAAAAACACTGTAGTATATTTTACCAAAAAACATGATAGCTCAAACAGATATTAACACTTCGGGACAAAATCAGAATTCAAAAGCCCATGTCATAAATCAAAAAATACCTTCTGGCCATTCAGGACCTTGTCAAAAAACATACCGAAGCCTATCATATATAGCAATATGTTTACAATTTACATGTCAACAACATTAACACGAGATAAAATCTAAATTCAAATTCTACTCCAAAAAACCAATGGTCTGTCGACTTTAAACACTTGGCTACTTCATCTTGCTCAGCATATGCCTGCTTCAATGCGCCAACAGGATGCAAACAAGTTAGAATACATTTTTGCGTACATATTATTATCATCACTAGACTACACCCCTTACCGTATGTTAGATTCCATGGAGAATGCAAAAAGCCTCACAACACCCGTCACAACTTGCATCAAATATAAAAAAACACTGACTTCAATTATGTGTTCCTTCTAGTACACTTCGACTTGTGTGGCTTCTTTTTCGTGGCTTCGACACTCTTGTACTACCAGATTCCAGTCAATAATGTCATACATGACATTTTCGAAGTTCACATCGTCGATTGGAACATGAACTGAGTCGAGCTGAGTGAACACCATTGCTGTATCACCAGATTTTAGCCCACCAGAAAATGGTTCACGAGATAATGTTGGGGTTGGAGTGAAGTGGAATGTTAGCTCAATCCCAAGATTGTGACTCGATGATGCTCGCTGTCTCCTTTCTGGAATCATTTTTCCCTACATTATGCAATCATTAATATTATCAGAATACTTATGCAATCTACAAAATATCACAACGAACATCAAGAAAAATAATTCAACGGAATACTAACTCGTTCATTGACTGCTCTATCGCATTGTGTGACAACTGGTTCTATGTTACCTTCAAACCAATCCTGTCCACGAAAAGTGAAAGTTAGAATACATTCTTCGAAAAATCGTC